TGAACTTTTTATATCTCAACTTCCTTCACAACTGAGGGTAATGGGGGTAGGGGAGATTAAAAAAAAAAGGACTATTGCCTGAATATATAAGAGCACGCAGTATATATAAATACATACAATCAAAGCATGTTTCTTTAGTATACAAACTTCAATATTTTTTTTTTAATTGTAACATCAAAACTGATTAAAACCCCTTAAACAAATGTCACAATAAAACCAAAACTGTTACAAATGGATACTGGAGACTGCTTCTCAAGGATAGAGAAAGGTGTGAAAAGTCCAGTACACATGCTTCTTTCGTGTTTTGTATACAGAAATGTTGCATGTAAAGCCAAGATAACAATCATGATACTCCTTCCCCTTTAGAAATAATCAGCTGAACTCTTAGTTCAAATATTGTCACGTAATTGTATGTGGAGCCTGAGGTGACAATGGTGGCTTCTTGCACAGTTCCTGTCAGAGCACCCCTGGAATTTGAGACAGGGTCTGCAGAGTGAAGGAAAGGTGCAAGTGCGAGCAGGAGAACAGTTGGCAGTGCTGGATGTGTCAAATTCAGTTAAAGGCAGAATCAGGTTCCGAGCCTGATCTAGACACAGCTGAGTAGAAAGACACTAAGTTGTAAGCAGGATCAGAGTCAGGAACAGGCAGAGGCTGGCAACGAGCAGGAAGTGAGACACAAATTTACTGGGCAGAAGCATGGTCAGTAGTCCAGGCTGAAGTCAGTAATCGTAGACGAGAAACATACAAACATGGGTATCAAGATCACAAGAGCAAGACTGAAGATCAATCAGCAAGGAGCTTATGCAGAGTTCAGGTTTGAATAGCCTGTTTGGGAGCAGCCTATCAGTGCTGCCTATCCATGTCACCTCATCAGTGCTGCCTAATCAGTTTTTAGTGCAAAGAACAAAACACCCAGTGGCGATTAAATACCACCAAAAGAAAGCACTATTTGTGTGAAAAAAAAAATTATAAAAATTTCATATACAATGTTGTATGACCATGCAATTTTCATTCAAAGTATTCAAAGCTGAAAATTGGCCTGGGCATGAAAGGGGTAAAAGTGCCCAGTAGGTACGTGGTTAACAAAGAAAACCCCTTCCCACTTCATGCTGTCAGCAATGGCACCACATGGAAGAGAAATGTACAAGGCCTGAGAAAGAAAATTTCTTTACGCAAGAAAGGTGAAGGCTACAAGAAGATCAGCAAAGCTTTACTTAGCAGTCAGAATACTATAGCAAAACAGTTACAAAAATTTAACAAATATGGAACTGCATCATCTCACAGAGACATCCAGGCCGTCCACAGAAGTTCACACTTCGACAGGAGTGTCTTCTGAAGGGTTGAAGAAAATCGCCATGCAAGCTCACTGCAGTTAACTAAAAAAGTAGAAAGCCAAACTGGGGTGATTGTTTCCCATGACACAATATGGCGTATACTGCAGAGGAATGACTTGCTTGGGTGACGTTCATGAGGGAAGCCTCTCCTAAAGCCCATTCACAAAATAGCTTGCCTAGAATTTGCCAGGGTCCATGCTGAAAAAGAAGAAGACTACTGGGACTCTGTACTCTGGAGTGACGAATCCAAGATAAATGTTTTTGGAACTAATGGCTTCAAAACTGTATGGTATCGCAAAGGTGAGGAGTACAAAGAAAAATGCATGGTGCCTACAGTGAAACATGGTGGTGGTAGTGCCCTTCTGTGGGGCAGCATGAGTACTGCTGGTGTCGGGGAGCTGCATTTCATTGATGGTATCATGAATTCACAAATGTACTTCTCTATATTGAAAGAAGATGCTACCATTACTCTGGGCCCTTGCTCGTCGTGCACTTTTCCAACATGACAATGATCCAAAACACACATCCAAGGCCACTGTTGCATGTCTGAAGAAGAACAGGGTGAAAGTGATTCAGTGGCCAAGTATGTCTCCTGATCTGCACCCAATCGAACACCTATGGAGAATTCTGAAGACAGAAGTTGAGCATCACTCTCCATCCAGCATCCAGGCGCGAAAAGAGGTAATTCTTGAAGAATGGAAAAAGATAGATGTTGTAATATGTCGCCAACTTGTTCATTGCATGCCTAGAAGACTTGGTTCTGTCTTTACAAACCATGTAGGTCATACAAAATACTAGATGTAGTAGTTCTTGTTGTGGGGTGTATTCATTTTTGCTTAAACTAATTTGAGTAATACTGAAGATTTTGTACTCTAAGTTATATTATTAACCTTACTTTCATGTAATGAACTAAACAAACATTCTATAAAACTCACAAATTTGGAAATTGTTGTGGTCATTGAGATATTGATTCAAATTTTACTTTTCAAAGCAGTGTACTCATATATGCTGAGCACTGTGCATGCGCATTAGTCTGACGATGTACATACTTATGTGCATAAGCATTGGCCTGACGGCTGGCACAATGTTCATTTTTCTCTAGCCCAAACCCCTTTCACTTGAACAAATATTGGATCTGTCCTTTTACATTTCCTGCAATCTACAATAGCCTCAAATTCCTCCAGGAGGCCCGAAATTCCGATCAGGGCATGAGTCAGGCACATCAGAGATGCATGGAATAATGGGTGAAATCTGAATGAATCTGGGATGTTCTAGTTCATATGCCACTGTATTCTTTATTTAACAGGAAATGGCCCAATGTACCTGGGTCCCAACTGCTTTGAGGGATGAGCCAATTTTAAATTGGTGGCTGAGAGCCAAACACAATCATCAGGATTCAAGTTCAATTCTACCCTCCTTCTCCTGTTAAAGAATTTCTTTTAGATTCTTTTTAGCACCTTTTTTTCCTGGACTTTTCAGTTTGTCTTTGAATTTCCAGTAATGGGGAATCAGGTACTAGAGTTGACAAAAAAAGAGGAAGCCAAAGTTGGTGAAGAAAGGCGACTGACACGTAGTAGAAGGGACAGAATTAGCATAGGTTAACTCTGCCAATGGTAACAGTGAGACCCAATCATCCTATGAAAAGAAGGAGAAACAGCGGAGGTATTGCTTCAAAGTCTGATTAGTTTGTGCAGTCTGCCCATTGTTCTGCAGATGGTATGACGACAAGAAGCTTAACTTGATACCCAAAGCTCCATGTAGTGCCTTCCAGAATCTTGAGGTGAACTGGATCACAAATACTGTTGCTTGGGATTTCATGCAACCTTATCATTTCTTTCACAAAGTCCCTGGCTATCTCATTATAATTTGTCCAAAAAGGAACTCCATCAGTAGTCAATTCAGGCAATCCACAATCACCAAGCTGGCTGAAAAATTTTCTAAAGAAGGAAGATCGACAATAAAGTCCATTGTGGTCATCTCCCAGGTCTCCCAGGAATGGGAAGCGACTTTAGTAGCTCCCAGGCTTTGTTCTTGATGCCCTTGTTTGGGGTGCAGATAAAACGCTGAGATATGTCCTTCACTCTGCTGCCACTTTTGGCCACTAAAAGAGCTGCTGAACCAAGTTCAAAGTCTTGCATCCCCCAAAATGACCAGCCAGAGCGTAATCATAGCATATTTTCAAGATAGTTGTACGAAGGTCTTGGGGTACAAAGATTTTACCTTCATAACAGTTAGTGCCAGTTCACAAATATGCGGATTGGATGAGGTTTGAACCGCATCCAATCCGCATGACGTGAAAACATGTTCAGTGTCCAGGCAGTGCAGATTCTGTGCGTATTGAAAAAGAGTCATGCACGATTTCTGAGCAGAGCGGTCCAGTTCAGGTGTGATTACAGGCTATTAACTTCTATGGGAACTGTTTCTAAACCACACGTGTGAACAGGATAAAATTCTGAACCTCATGTAAACCTGACTTGAATTGCTGAACAACTACTGTATTAATTAGCTGTCAAATCTGAGCTTCAATCTGCACCACACATGTGTAAATCAGCTCTAAAGACCATCCTTCTCCTACAGGTTCACACCTTGTGGTAAAAAAAATCCCCATTGATGTCTGCCAGACCTGAGGTCAGGTTGCATCAACAAGAAGTTCACAACTTGCAGAATGGTGTCTGGCTGCACAGAATCTTCAGATTAGGAGAACATATGACATACAGGGGTTTATTTACTAAAGCTGGAGAGTCCAAAATCAGACTCCCTTCTGCATAGAAACCAATCAGCTTCTAACCTCAGCTTGTTCAATGAAGCTTTGGCAATGAAACCTGGAAGCTGATTGGTTTCTATGCAGAAGGGTGTCTGATTTTGGACTCTCCAGCTTTAGTAAATAAACCCCAGTGTGTCAAGTTTTTTGTTATTAGACCTGACCCGGCATGTAATATGGAAAATAAAACAAGAGAAAAAGTGTCCATCTTTCCTCTCAAGGCCTTAGATGCATTGCAGCTCTGAGCACAATGGCTTAGTGGTTTGCAATTCTGCCAAGCAGCACTAGGGTCATCTGTTCCAATCCCAACCATGACATTACCCCTGCCTGTTCTCCCTGTGCCTCCGTGGGTTTCCTCCAGATACTCCGGCTTCTTACTAAACTCCAAAGACATGCTGGTAGGCTAACTGGCTCCTGTCTAAATCAGCCCTAGTATGTGTATGTATGGATGCGAGTTAGAAACCTTAAATTGTATGCTCCTTGTGGATTAGGGACTGATGTGAATGTACAATATATATATGTAAATTGACGGCGCTATAGAAGTACCTGTAATAAATAAAATAAATAAGTTCCAGTAATCTGTAAAAATTAGCAACGGGTGGGCCGTTCCATTCAATAGGTAATGCCATTCTTCTGAGATTCTATTGGCAGAAGTTCACGATAAACCCACATCGTAATTTTTCTTGCTTGCTTCTTTTGCTTTTTTTTTTTTTTTTTTTTTTTATTTCCTCTTTCAATAAAAATAAAAATGCTACTGGATAATTGTCATCATTTGAACTAGACAATTAGAAGTATGTATGTTAAAACATTGATGTTTCACATCTTGGGATTATATGTTTCAACCAGAAAAAAAAATAGAAGAAATTTATTTTACATAAAATGAATATAGAAATATACCTACTTACCAAGAAAAAGAACAATCAGCACAACTATAATGGATAAAAATGCTTTGTTCCAGTATGGGGATACTTTACTCCATAACTGAAATCTGAATATCTTTCTCCATCTGGAAGGAAAATACATAATAAAACATGACATGAGTACAACAACAAAAGTAACATAAGCATACATTGTAAAAAAGTAACATATTCTAATGTTCTTGTTTTAACCTATACACATACTGTGTCTCTCACACACGCACACACACAAATCTCAATACCATGGTAATGTAGAATAGATTCAGAATACAAAACAGTAAATGAAGTGTGACCTCTACAGGACATGCTGAGCTAATAAACCTTATGTGCAGGGAATTAAAAAAATAAAAAATAATCTACAGAAAACATTTGACACTTTTTTAGTGTTATAAATGTTTGTAAAATGTTAAAACACATTTTAAGCAGAGTCTACTAAAAATCCTGTGGAATTTACTTAAAATTAAATTATCCATTCACTTTTTAAGTTTTTCCTCGGATCTATCCTACAGTATCCTGCAGCCGGTTACATCTTAAATGATAAAAAATAAACGCACTTTTTTGCAGGTTAAAAAATATGCATTACTCATCAACTTTTTTCTTTTTTTAACAGGAGCCTTCAAAGTATTGCACCCACTTGTGCGATGGGGATAATTAATTGCTATTATACTGGGTTCCCTTACTCACTGTTGGGTATGTCATTGATTTCATATTTTATAAAATGCAAAAGAAATAGCTGAAGACATCAAAAGGGTGGAGAACACCCAAAAGTTCCAAACCACAAAGAACAGAGTTAGAGGTGGCAGAAGAAAAAAAAAAAAACTCACTGTTATACTATACATGAGGGTATGGCTCAACCCTCCAAAATACACTAACTAAAAATGTTACTTATTGGTGGAATGACCATACTGGTTTGTACCAGATGACACATAAAAATAACAAACAAAACAGAAAGTTATCACATGCAACTTTTTTTTTCTTCCAAGAAATAGGACTTAAAATTGTTTGTGTGGCATACAATGCGTTATTGCGCAAAAGCAGATCGTTACTTATCTCTGGGGCCATCGTGTTAAGATCAGACAGGTAAAACTTGCTTAAAAGCTGAATTTCAGGCAAACTATTAAATACATAGATGAAATACATATACATTATGTGAGCTGCTTTACGTGCCAATGGATCTGTATTTCTGTCATTCCAGTTTTTAGATTTACACAGCTCTGCCACACAGCACAGGCCTGCCAGAGCAGGAGATCTAGTTTTTTCTTCTCCTGTTCATTAGCATTTACAAGTCTCCTCCTCACCCTCACCTTGTGGAATGACAGTAAAAATGAGATGCCTCAGGCTGACGAGTTCATCTCCCTGTCACTCTCATCCTATCAGCATGCTCCTTCAGCACAACTGAGTTGCTCCCTATTCTGCTTTATCCTCCCTCAGTCTGAGCTTTACTGTGCAGGGACTGCATGAAGCGGATACCAAGCCAAAATTCAGGCACTTACACTGCTTGCATTTAAAAAAAATACATTTAAAAGGAAGGATTAATGAATAACAAAACTGCACATGTTTTATAACACATGTAAAAAATGTAATACAAGTACCCATATTAATATTTAAAAAAAATGTGCATTTATTGAACTTTTTGCATTAAAGTCTGCAGAGCATTGCAACCAAGAGAATGCATTGCGTGTGCAATGCACTGGCTCCTACATTGTTTTCCCCCAGACGCAGGTTCATACTGGGGTATGGACCTCATGTTATAATGTGGCTGAAGAAAGGAAAGAAACAATGGACTAAAAGTACAGTAATACCACCACACTTGTGCTGTATTAAGATTTGTGAGTCCTTCTGCCACAATGGCAGTTAGAACCTGCATACATCCCATTCACAGATCACAGTGAATGAATGACGCAGCTATGCAAGCAGAATCACACACAGCTGCACTCAATTTTTTCAAAAAGCAGACGCTGTAGGATGATGAACCCCATAATTCAGGTAAGTGGGCAAGAGCGGTCTAAAGGTGGGTTGTTAGGTAATGCAACCATGTTTGATATTACACCCCAACATGGGTGTAACATCAAACCCTTGTCAGAAAGATTGATTATTTTATGAAAGTAGCTAGCTTGTTTGGCACCATCATTTTTGTGGACTATACTTTTCTGGCACTCTTAAAATCACTAGAACGTATGTACCCTGGTTCTTCACACAAATCTTTCGAGCAACATTTATCGAAAAACCACAGCAGGTAATACGATCCTGCATACTCCGAGTTTACACCCTCGGTCCTTAATTTCATCTATCCGTACAGTCAGTACTTACACATTAGACGCAACTGCTCGACTGAAAGTGATTTGCATAGCAGAAGCAGCTAAATTAAAGGAAAGACTACTCCAAAGGGGCTTCCACATGCCTTAAAAAAAGCATTTAAAAGAGCCCGAGCTAAATTTTGTTCTCAAAGAAACATTCCCTCAAAAAAACAAGAGGCGTAAGCATTATCACCAGATATACGAAATAGCACCAACAGATCAGACAAATCTTCCAGAGATATTGGCATCGTCTGCAATTATTTTTTTTTTAAATTTATTTCAGGGACTTATATAGCGCCGTCAATTTACGCAGCGCTTTACACATATATATGTATATATATTGAACATTCACATCAGTCCCTAACCCTCAAGGGGTGTACAATCTAAGGTCCCTAACTCCCATTAATACATACACATATTAGGGCCAATTTAGACAGGATCCAATAAACCTACCAGCATGTCTTTGGAGTGTGGGAGGAAACCGGAGTACCCGGAGGAAACCCACGCAAGCACAGGGAAAACTCCATGCAGGAGGCGCCATGGTCGGGAATCGAACCCATGACCCATTTACTGCAAAGGCAGACATGCTAACCACTAAGCCACTGTGCCTCCCGATTAGACCCCACACTCAGCCCTCACATTTCAGAAAATCCTACGATAACCTACCGCAAAGCAAAATCACTTAACAGATCATCTAGTACATAGTGATTTTGTAGGATGTTCGAAAAAAGACCCTTGTAAAAACTTGGGCACTTTTAGATGAGGGGCATGTCCCTATTGCCAATATATCAACACTGACAATAACATAATTCTACCAAATGGTGACAGGTACAGGCCCCGACATTTTTCCAATTGTAAGACTGCAGGAGTGGTCTACCTACTGAGTTGTGAATAAGGGGGTTTCTATGTTGGAAAAACAAAACTTGAATTTTGGAAACGAGCATACCACCATATTTCCAGCATGAAATCTGTAAAGCCTGATTTACTGTTGGGACACCACATTATGGATATACATGGTGGTAGATTCCATCCCAGTGGGAGAGGAGGTAATTGGAACAAATTACTACTTCAAAATGAAACTAGGTGGATTGTTTTATTGAATGCTAACTCCCCCCCAATAACACACAGAGTATCAAACCTTTCCTGGATGGATTCGTGTAAGGTGGCTGGGAAAAAATAAAATTATTTATGGTCAAAAAAAGAAAAAAGAAAAAAGAACCTCAAACAGCCACTTGCAAAACTTTGCAGCCAAAACATGCATCTGAAGCTGCCAAAACGTCAACTTTGTAAAACTTGGTAAAGGTGCGCTCAGATGATCCGGTAGCGGCCTTTCAAATCTGAGACACAGACGCCTAATGTCAGAAACACCCAGGAAGCACTAATCGCCCGGTAGGGTGTGCAGTGATGGGGAAGGGAGGAGTCTAACAGTAATGGCATAAGCCTGGACCCTCATCTGGGGGCTGTCAATCAGGATGACACTGAAATAGATGTCAGGTGCCCAGTCATATGTGCCCTCAAAAAATGTTTAACTTGTTAGCCACCCCATTCCAGGATGGTGCTGTTGCTTCCAACTCAGCGTGTAGCTAAACATCTCCATGTGCTTGTTGGATAGGCCGGGGTGACTACTGGATCTAGATTATCCAGCCTGATGTTATGCCTGGCTGTTGATTGAAGATCTACACAGGCAAAAAAAATTTCAGGAAAAAGAAAATGAAAATAAAACGAAGGAACCACAGGTCCTGGCAGTGATCTAGGTCCTAACGCCTATACTAGGCAGAAAGAACTGGGCTGCAAATAGCAGAGAGAGGGTTTACAACAGCTACAACTACCCAAAGGTGGTGCTGCTGCATTCTTTTTCTGCATGGTGTACTACTCCTGTAGGTAGCTCTGTAAACCCTTTGGTCAAGACTATGGAGGAACTGTGCCTTTTCTAGGTCAGTAACTGAAGGTATTGAAGCTAGAAAAAACGTCAGTGATGACATCTTCCATTCACCTCTCAGTGCAGATGTTCTATCTTAGGCTTGTTGCACATGGGAGTTTTTTATTGATCTGAAATTGTATGAATTATTGTCTATGGGACATTGCACACAGCTGATTAAAGATCAGTAATACAACATTGAGTACAGAGCAGTAAAACAAGAATAGAACATTTTTCATTTGAGTGCAGTAATTTACTTGCGTGTTTACTCGTTTATGGGAGTATGAGTATATTACAATAATGGCATTGAAGAAGAATTTTACTCATCTATACGCTCACACACCTTTACTCGCCTAAACTCAACATTACTCAGGTCTTTACAAAAAATGGATTTTGGCCCCTTGCACATGGGCGTCACAAGTTCCTGAGTAAACATCAGCATATTGTGACACACGTGTACAAGGGGCCTTATTGCATAACAGTTTCATCCCTATTCTTTTAAGAGCATACATGTTCAAGGTGGGATTTGACTTCTAGTTACTTGCCTCTGTTGCTGTGCACTTATGTAGTGCTACTTGGGTACAACTTTGAAAAGATCTGTATATTCTATGGGGCCAAAATTGCACTGGAATCACACCACAGTAGTAAAGGTATCTTTTCTAACATTGCTGTGTGCCAAGTCACATTGCTGTGAATGGACACCTTTGAAAACAATGTGATTTACCTTGTTGTGCGATTCGGTGCAACTCGAATAGCATTTGAAATCGCACTAGTGTGAATCAGGCCTTAATGCACGCTGAAAAAAATATCCCATGGAAATAAATGAAATTGAACACCTAGCCATGCCTTGGGTACTGAATCTAATATTTGGTCTTCTGCACCACAAATCCCGCCCACCACATGCATAGATCCCCAGTGTTTGGGAAGAGCTTGACAGTTATCAAAATTGCCTGCCAAGAATCCTTGCTTAAGGATCCATCTCAATTTTAATTTACTATTTTATTTGAATTATATTTATACTATTTAAAAAAAATAATTAAAAAGAGAGAAAATCCCTGTACTGTTGAGCCATAGTAGAGGAACTGTTATAGTACATGCTGACAGCTTCAAAAGGAACCACGTTGTTCCAAAAATATCTAGGCTGCCTGTGGTCACATTACTTCTTTGCTACATGAAATGCTCTATACAAAATACACAAATATACAGAGAATAAAAACTATATTACAAGATTCCCAAACCTGGTATTCTATTGATAACCCAAGCTGCAACACTGTATAAATCCTTTTGTGCAGCTGGGAACATGCAATTCTGAGCTTGTGATTCCACAGCTATAGATAATCATCAAGCTTCCTTGACACCCTACTCACTCATACCTCCAAACTTCAATGTGCTTTGATTAGGCATACCCCTTTATCATTCAGAAAGAAACTACTGTATGTAAATAAATAAAAATAAATACATTCTTAACAACAGGTTGCGCTTCAATGAATATAAACTTTTAGACTGTATTACCCTTTTGCATAATGATTTATCATTTTGCCTGGAATGGCTCCAGTTTTTTTACATGTATATACAACGTTTGAGTCAATTTAGAGACAGCCTGTTTCATGGAATATGGCATTCCTGACATTGTTCTTAAGCCTACTGTTCTGGAAGTTTCATCTTCAGGAGAATTGCTTGCCTAATGGGATGCCAGGGATACGGTGTTTTGCTACCTGAAAACTGGGCTGAACAGATTAGAGTAATGTTGAGACTCACACTCAACTGTGGAAAATCTGCCTAAATGCCCCTGGATTCGCCTATCTAATATCTACAAAACAAAACAGGTACGTATCTACCATATAGGTTTCAAATCTTTGTCTTGGTGCCTTTGGAAAAAATATTGGTATTTAACATTAAGGTCTCATTCACACAGAACTGTACACCTGCGCAGAGGGCACCCAAGAGTCACAGATGGTCTGTGCAGCAGAGATCAGCCAGCCTGTTAAAATCAATGACAGGCAGATGGTTGCACAGATATTCCCATGCATCCCTGCTTATACATCTGTGCAGGAACAAGGCAAAGCTCAGAAAACAGACCAGCTAAATTCAGAGCTGTGCATCAGTCCCACACAGAAGTATAAGCAGGGATGTGGGTGGAGATCAGTGAAGATTCGTGAAGCAATCTGCCTGTCATGATTTTAAACCGCTTGCACAGCCCATCTGGGCCTCCTGGGCAGAGAAACATGTTTTTCTGCATGGGAGTGCAGGTCTGTGCACCTGAGTGAATAATGCTGATACTAATAAATATGCATTAATGTTAAGCACTTACAAAATATTTTTAGTCACAAAAAACATTTATTTGGCTTACAATGACAGGCCAGCCATGCAAAAAAAAAAAAAAAAAAAATCTTCTGATGCAGTACCTTAATGGAGAAACAAATGGGATACAAAGGATTAATAGAACTACTATTTCGCCATAAAGAAAGGAAGCCACTGCCGTCCACTGAAAGGTCATTTTACAGCCTTGAAACCTGCAAGAAAAAAAAAATATGACTTTATAATCAGTAAATAAACTGAATAAAACAAACAAAGGAAAAATACATACGTATATTGCAATTGCTATTGAAGCACTAGCACCTAAACTAAGACAAAATAAAACCATGCAGGTTAACCAGATTGGATCCAAGAAGCTAGCTACGTCATAAGACAAGTCAGAGCCAGGGAGAGGCCTACAACTTCCTCGGCTCTGCAATGGCATTCTAATCTAAGATCTTGGAGATTGTGGCCGGAGTCAGAAGCTGGCAGCTGACATGGTAGGGTCCCAGTCTGTCAGATGTCCATGATTGACAGATTGATTGTGATAAACCAGTTGCTGACCACCACTTTAGATGATCTCACACTGTATAAATCCAGCTATGGGGCAACAAGAACAGGGTGTCTAGGCAAAGTTATGTCCAGAAGTGCATTGCAACTTCTCACGTGAAATTCAAGTCAAAAGGAAAGTAAATCATTACTTTTTGAGTATATTTTTGATGAAACACACCAAGAATTCCATCTGTGGAACAAGTTATTTCTTTGAGGATCATTTCTTCTATGCAGATTCTGAAAGCACTGTTAAAGACAGCATTTCCATCTGCAGCAGCCACTGTAGCCTGATTAAAGCATATCTAAACCCCACAGGAAAAATGTAATATATGTAAAAAATGGCAGCTTACAAATCAAAACCTACATGTGGTGGCTGCATTAGTTCACTTTTTTTCTTGTCATAGACTTATAGGGTGCTGGCTGCAGGGCTGGACAGAGCGCCTTGCCTTCCACCTGCATAAAAACACCAGAATCTAAGCAGAGGGCTAAATGCCCAGTGTGCATGATGCCGAACACTACCCTACCCTCGAAGGTACTAGATTGACTTCTTGATGATCATTCACAGAATTTTTTTTCTAAAAGCCCTTTATTCCAAGGAGCAGGTTCTCAGTTACAGAGGGAGCTGATGATCATGTCGATGGACTACAAGTGTGATCATCACACCCCTGTTCCACTGAGAACTAAAGTTTGTATGCTATGGTGGCAGATAGAACATTTACTGTAGTTCGGGGCTCAAAATTTCCACTCGCCTACTCGTATTTGGCAAGTGTAAATAACATGGGAGATAGTGTGTACCAGGCACTGCATCTAGGGCTGCCACCTGTATGGGATTGACCTGGGTTTTTGTTCACCTGAAATCAGTCCTCGGGATGCAGCCAGCCAGTGTGGGAACTCAGTGGGGGTATCATAGCGTCAAAGCGATTCCTGTTGGCTGCGCCTGCCTGTCCTGTGTCCTCTCTGCCTTCTCCCCCGGTGTCCTAGAAACCAATGACGCTTTAGCCCGGATGCTGTGCACTTATGGGATTGTCCACCATTCCCAGCTCCGCCCCCTAACTCTGACTCCCACACAAGGCTGAGTGCTCTCTTGCCTGCAGCGGCTCCACCAGAACCTCTGTCCCTCCTGTCTGTTAGGCATTATTCAGAGACATCCAAAAGAAGTCATAGAGGATCGGTGGCACTGATATAAGGGGGGGGGGGGGTCTCTCTCTAATGGAGGTCTCTAAGGCAATGGGGGGATAGGGGCACTAATATAAGGGGACTGTGAGCTAATGGGGGTCTGTAAAGTGGGTGCTGATATAAGGTGACTTATATAATGGGGGGGGGGGTTCTAATAGGGAATGTTTATGCTAATATAATGGTTGCTGACCAACCATTAGATCAGCTGTCAGCACCCGCCATTATAGACCCCCATTATATCAGAGTCACCTTATATCTGCACCCACCTTACAGACAACCATTAGATCAAAGTCTCTTTATATCAGCGACCCCCCCCCCCCCCACCTTGAGACCACCGGTTGGTCTCTATGGGGGTTTGCTAATATAAGGGGACTCTGATCTATTGGGGGGTGCTGATATCCCACACCTCAAAAACATAACAAAGTTTTAAATTTTAAAAGTCTGTGAGTACAAAAAGGAAGGGAAGTGGGCTTACAACTGATGTAAGGGGGCACTGTGATGGGGACACCTGATGTAAAGGGGGACTCTGATGAGGACACCTGATGTAAAGGGGGGCTCTGATGTGGGACACCTGATGTAAATGGGGGGGGTCTCTGATGGGGACACCTGATGTAAAGGGGGGGGACTCCTGATGGGGGATCTGATGGGGACACCTGATGTAAAGGGGGTCTCTGATGGGGACACCTGATGTAAAGGGGGACACCTGATCGCACACTTATTTTCCTTTTATTTTTACATTGCTTCATGTTACTATTGTTAAGCTTTGTTGTTAATATTTATTTTTGTGACTTTGTTCTCCATTAAACATTTAAGCGTCATTTCATTATACAATTTATGAGGGTGTGTTTAGGGTGGGGCATGGTAGGGATTGGGTGGGGCAACTGGAGGCAGTAACTCTTAAGGCCTGGCTAGTAGCTCAGAACTTGAAGTTTTGAGCCCTGCTGTAATTCAATCATTCTCAAATCTCTGTGAATGAATGACACGGCTGTGCAGTTAGAGATCCATGCAGCTGTCACATGGCCGACAGCGACCGCAGGCGAGAAAAACCCTCATACGCTGTTGCAGGGGTAATTTGAAGGTGAAGGGCTCCATTTGCACCATGTTACTTGCTACACCCTAAATACAGTGCAAAAGATGGGGTTAATTTTTATACTGGCACTAGACTATAGAAGTGTAATAGAAGACCTTACACTGGCTGTGCTGGAACATGTATTGTGTGTCCATTATTATTATGCATGCCTTAAATTAAATTGTAAACACCTTGCCTCTAAAAGCATACAGTTCTCAACTGGCCTCTAGACAAATGACAGCCAAGCAGGTGCTCTCCCATCCTGCACTCTCCTAGCCACCATAGCTCGATCTGTCACCCAGTGGACACAGCAGATGACAGATCAGTGTAATCGGGCCGGTACCATGTGACCGCTTTGACCAGTCAGAGATCACATGTCAAATGTACACAATGAATGGCTTTTATTCATAGCCATTCATTGTGTACTGTTGTGATCTGTGAATGGTCACAGTGATCACATGGTACGGATAGGGCCAATCACAGCTCTCACAATAGTACACACTAGCTATAAATTTATGCCATTCATAAAAATGTTATGACAAAAAATTTCAACTTAAAAAACTTTACATGCTTCTCATTAAATACACTGGACTGTCTAATTTCCAAAAAGGGTCATTTGGGGGGTATTTCTACTGTCCTGGCATTTTAGGGCCTCAAGAAATGAGAATCCACACATTAGGATTGATCGATGTTCAAATATATATATAATACACACACACACTTTGAAGACTAACGTTCATGCAGACTAAATAATATACACTGATTTGGGTTATTTTTTACCAAAGAAATGTAGTGGAATACATTTTGGTCTAAATTTATGGAGAAAGAATTATTTCACTGAGAAATTTTATAACAGAAACTAAAAAAAAAAGTGTTTGTTTTATAAACTTTTTGGTATTTTTCATTTAAATAACCCAAAAAATTAAAAACCCAGAAGTGGTTAAGTACCACCAAAAGAAAGCTCTATTTGATTGAAAAAAATATATATATAAATTTCAATTGGGTACAGTGTTGCATGAATGAGTAATTGTCATTTAAAGTGTGATAGCGCTGAAATAGGTCTGGGCAGGAAGGGGGAGAAAGTGCTTGGTCTTGAAGTGGTTTAAATTGAAATGAAAGGCAAAATATTTATGTATGCATATAAAGAACATTATAAATACATTTTCCCCATTTTTGTAAGTGATCACATACCCTCTGTTCTGGGAAGTTCAGTGTACTGCTATTTCTCCTCCCTCGCCTCTCTATGCAGCTAACTGCATAGAGAGGCAAGGGAGGAGAAATAGCATAACATTGAACTTCCTAGTGAATAGCTGTGCAGAGGGGGGAAGGCCGGAACAAGTCTGATTATTGGAGGAGAGCAGGCTGAGTTCCAGCATCGCTACACACAGTGTAGTCAATTTTTAATAGAAAAGAAGGAGCTGACAGGAACACCAGGGTTTTCACATAAAGGAAGCAATACAAAGAGAACAGGATACTTTTTCATACAAGTACATGGTACAGCAGGAACATATCAGGAATATGTAATGTTGGGTTTGCAGATTTTTTCATGTGTAGGTGCTGATCATCTAATGCCAATTCAGTGTTAATACAACCTGCCATCGCTGTATTTGAGAACGCTATAACCCAGCTCCTGTCTGCTGGGCTAGTGAGTTTATTGCTTTAGATAGACTCCCTTATTTCTTCCCCATGTCTCCTGAGTGAGTTGCTTGCCTACATAACAGGCATAAGCCTGAGATCACTGCCTCCTTACACTTTGAACAAGCGATGAACATCCCATGTACTGCATTATAGGCCTCATGCACACTGAGTGTTTGCTCAACTCCTCTAAACATTTTTTTCTCCTGGCAGGAGAAAAGCAGCTCGAAAAAATGTAATAAAAGCCTTTTGACAATAATGCATTCCATTGGCAGGATTTATTTATTCTGGCCATTAGAATGTATTAACGCACACACTCACCTAAACACATCTAGCGTTAACATTTGTGCATTTCTTCTGCCCAAACACTCCTCTCATGAATGGGCTGGGTGGTGATTTTTTTCTTTCAGTCTGTAAACCCTCCTCTTCTAAAATGCCTGTAAACGTCTATGTGTACATACAGGAGTGTTTACAGGCTAAGAAAAAAAATAAATGCCTATAAAAGAGGCGTTTTTTCTGCCTGGTGTGCATGAGGACTTGACAGTAAAACTACATTGGATTAAACTGCTGTGTCTTACTGGAGAGTTAAGCAGTCTGTTGGGGGTGTTTGTTCTGCAGGTGACAATAGCAATCGGACTGACCAAGGTCTAAAGGAGGCATGCCAATGCATAGAGCTGTGCTCAGCCCCTTCCAGCCTGGGATATTGTAATATGTCAGGGGGGCGGGAGCACTGTTATCCTGGGTGGACGTCATATGATGTCCTTCCAGGA